GGGGTAAGGGATAAGAAAATAACAGTAATCGCGGATTTCAGACGAATGTAGATTTCGGAACGAAATCGGGAAGAGTCAGATATCCCAGAACGGATGTTGGAAAATGACCCCACCTAGTTTAGTCCCCTTTTTCCCTCCCGAAATACGCTGGAGCAGAGAAGAAGGAAACTCTTTGAGACCATCCCACCCGCCCTTCACAACGCTTACTATATTCATGAACCTATTGATCATTCAAACACCATGGGCCTGGGCACACCCAGCCCAAAGGGTTACTTGTGGCGAGGCCCTCCTGCCGGCGCAGGAGGCCTCACCCAGCCAAATCCAATACTTACATTGAATGATCTGGGTAAGGGATATGAAAACAACAGGAACCGCCGGTTTGGCTGTTGCAGTGTCGGTAACACGGCCGCCACCGCCGGCTACTCAGGCAGCCGCGGTCGCTCCTTCTGATGACCGGGCTTTGCTCCTGTCGTCTGCCGGTGCACGAACAGTACGGGCAAAATTGGATGCGACCGCTGCTGTCTCGCAGCGAACACAAGCTCTAAGCGTGCGAAAAGTATATGTCGAGCTCAACTATACGCGGGTGTTAGGCTTCCCCCGGCGAAAATTATTAGCTTTCGTTCGCTCGGCCGAATGTGTGCTGGCTGAAATTCTTTTGAACCGCTAATTCCTCTGCAAGCAGACTTGTAAGTCGCCCACATATGACTGGATGGTACGCCCCTTTCCACAAATGTGTGTTCATGGCCATTTCGGATCCTCACGGCGCCAAAACGTGGAAATTTGCCGCGGGGTGGATTCCTAGTTTTCTCGGGTGAAACGGTTTCTGGAAAATAGGGACAAGTCGGCGCCTCGGCATATCGTCTGCCGCTCAAGCTGCTGGTGGATGAATGGGAACCGAAATGATTTGGGCCTAGACAAGCTCCAGGACTTTGGTACCCAACAGCACGCCGTACGGCAAGGTCGTTGCGAAATTCAAGGCGTTGGCGATGTCCGAGTTGGCTTCGCATAGGGCTTTCGCCCCGAATCTTGCCATGGTACAGCGTGCGCTTAGGGACGCCCTGTTAGATAGAGCAATACCGGAGTTTTCTATCGGCGTTGCCGCTGAAGGATAAGATCCTCAATAACGTGGTTTTTGGTGATCGGACGAGCTCTTGGATGCTTTACGTCAGAGTAGACATTAAAAGATTAAGCCTCCTGTGATGGCGAACTCCCTCGCGCCACCGTTCCTTCTGGTTTTCATCGGCGTCACACGAGCCATGACCGAGACCGTTGAGCAGCAGCTACCGCCACCACCGCCACCGCTGCCGCAGCCGCCCGCTTGGTCGCCGGGTACACAACTCCCCGTTGGGATGGTGGCCATCGGCCCTGTATCATCCGATCACACAGACCCTTTTGCGCAGGACTACGACTGACTGCTGGCCGTTGCGTGGCCTATGCGCATCCGTGTACAGCCTTGTTGCCAAGATGGCTAGACCCCATTTGTTCACATCGTTGTTGACCCTTCCTTGCTGACCGCGCCAACGTCTTGCGGCAATTTTCAGTACCATCTCCCAACCGCGGGCAGACGGGTCACAGAAACAAACTATCTGGCCGTATGCTTCCACGACCTACACCGGTCTTTTAGACCCAGCCACAGCTTCGCATGACGATAGTGCATGGGTCTTCCATCATTGGCAAAGCCGTGTTAAGTCCCACCGCCCGTGCGCGAATTATCGAGGTAGCTCAGGTAAGGGGGATGGCAATACACAGGGCGAAGGCCGCCACTCTAGCAAACGCAGCTCGGAATCACACACGGCGTCTCCGGCGCCGCCCGCTGGCGCAACCGAGGCCCCGGCATCCGGCGCTGTTGCTGCAGCCCCGGAACCTCGCACTCGCGCGGTAACTGACACGCCGGTGAAGCCCTTTAGCACACATCGCCGTCAACACCACCGGGTGTGCACTGTACGACTTTCCAAGACGTTCGTTTTGCACGGATACCTCCGGGTCACCGTTCGTTGTTTGTTCCTCAGCCTTTGTTTGTCTCTCAGTTGTCGCCCCGCACCTCACCGCAGCCTGTCTTTGTCGACCGTCGTGACGTGTGGACGCTGAAGACAGCCTCGTGGTGTGGACGCGGGACCGGTAAGATAAGACTTCTGGTGTCTCACGGACGCTTGCCCATACGTCTACGCCCTCTGGAGGCCAGGCTTCTGCGATTCCCACGGTTTCGACAGATCCGGGTGACCTCGTCAACCCTATTGGAGCTGCGGGACCTTCGGGAGTGGGCAAGTCCGGGATGGCTCGGATAAACCCGTGCCCACTTCGCCCCCTCCAGACCCCTCGCAACGTTTTTCCACTTCGAGCCAACGCCGCAGGGTGCTGACTGCACCGCCGTTGCCGGGGCCAGGCACTGGTTTTCCCAAATTGGAACACTCTGTTCTTTGTCACAAAATAGTGGCCCCACCCGTCCCGCGGCAACTGGCCATGTTGGTCGAGCGTCCGCGACGAAGGCACCTTCCACTGAATTGGCCTACGCCGCCGACGTTTTTAAGCGAAAACACTCGCGGAGATCGCTTGGTTTCGCACCCTCTGCGGCTGGTTCTCCGCTTTTGCCTGTCTCTCCTCATAATCTGAATCTGGCCCGCCTCCAGGATTAAGACTCCTAGACTACTAGGGGCCAGCCCGTGTGTCTTGCCGGTTGCCGGTGCCATCTCCCTGGCTAGTTGATGTTCCCTCGGGGAAGGCGGGAACACCTGCGCGGCACACCCCTGTTATTGACGGCAGTCACGAGTACTACAACAACGAGGTTTCCTCTTCTTGGAAACCGCCGTCCCTTTTGTCCAATCGGACACCCTGTGCGCCCATCGGCCCACGGTATTTTATGTCTCTATGTGTGCGACGAACTGTTCATGGTGGCGGGAACGGCTCGCATTTTGGGCGATTACTCTCCTATGTATCTCTACTGGTGGTATGCAGCAAAACTATCATAGGTAACTCGGACCCGAGTCAATACACGTCTCTTAAACGCGAGGTGAGCGGTTTTGACCACGCATCATGGCAGCTTCGTTGTGAAGACGTTATCTTCTCGCTGCTGCATGCGAAATTCGCCCAAAACGCTGAAGGACGCGAACGTCTGTTGGCTACGGGGGACAGACCGATTGCGGAGGCTAGTCCCTTCGACACTTTGTGGAGCGTTTTGGTGTCAATGACCTTGCCCGTGCGCAGGCGTCGCCTTTTCGATGGTCTGGTCAGAACCTCATGGGCAAAGGGCTTGTCGCGACGCGCGCGCTCCTGCATACACCAGGTCGAACCCAACGATCCTTTACGACCGGAGCGCTCGGCGGCACCGCCCTCCGTGTGCCCACCCATGCATGAAATTTCCCCCCCGGGTGATGGGCCTAGACGACTTTTGTGCAACAAAAGGAGCGCACGGATTGTCAAACAAGGTTATTTCCTATATTCCGAGAGCTGTTCATTCGTGAAACTCAAGCAAACGTAGAGCAAAGTAGGGAGGGGGGGTGCAGGAAACCCTTCGCGACGTACACGAAGAATCAGTTAATGTGCTTCACCAGCACCAGACCAGTAGATAGAGCGGTATTGCCGTGGTATGAGGCAACTGTAGCACGATTTTCCTACTGTCTGCTAGTCGTGGATTTTAGCTTGAGTAGTGTGCCCACAATTTTTCGGAAATCAAACAAATGATTCGAATATGGAACACGTGGCGAAACCCCAGGTTAACCGCTGGCCTTTCGTGCTCCTACTCCCCTGCCAATGGTGCATCATTTGACGTATTCCACGTCTCCCTTGCCACCGAGGATGGTGAATTATCTTTCCCTCACTTGTCACTCGTTTGTTTTTGCAAGAGAAAAAGAGTCCTTCGATCAACACCGACATATCGTTTTTTCGTCCCTTGGCAGTTGGTTGGGGGGGGGGTGCCGCAGAATATGCTTGATGGCGCTCTCCTCGGAGTTTGTCAGCCAGGTAGGTTGTATTTTCTTAAAGTCAAAATCAAACGAAATAAATGCACCGTTCATGGTCACCACGGACACCAAGGCAAACTACAGCAGTAGGCGCTCGAGAGAACCGCCAGGCCAAAGCTACAACAGCGTTGCATGCCGTTGTTGTTGTGCTATCTGCATGATGTTACATCATGAAATAACCACGCACACGTGAACCTACGATGGGCGCCCTAAGCAGCAAAGAAAGCATTGAATTGCTTACCCTATTCTTCTACGATTTGTTTCCGTTTCTATTTCTGCTGGCACTCGCAGATGCCTGGTGATGGTGCGTCATTTTTGATCGGTTTCGCCCAGAGACTCGAGACAACACCAAGCAAACCGTGATTGGACATTCCTGTGAAAGGGCTACAACAGACTCCTGTAGTCAAGCTATACTAGTGGTACGTTATACACGATTTGGATCCTGTTTCTTGGAGTCTGCTTGAGGTGTACGAGTAGAACGGTAATCAATGTGCGTCGGTCTCCACTGTACGTATTACAGAACGTCCCACACGCCGTCATCACACGTAGCAACATAACAATGGCAAACCACACCCGCTTTTCTCACGTTGTCTTTGGTTGTTGTCTACGTGCGTCTGATTCCTCATCAGTCGTGCGGGAACGTTAGCATTTATGGAACTGTGCATATGCATACGCATACAAAAAAGTATCTCAGCCTGAGAGAGTAAAGCGAGGTTCAAAAGGCGTCGAGATTATGTTCAACTCTGAATCTTCGGGAGGCTAACGACAACCCAACAGCGCTTGTCCCAGTCATGCGTTCGTAAACTGGTTATTTATTTATGTGGGAAACGACTCGGAGAGCATGATTGTTTACACTGGCGGAGAGAGGGCAGAAAAGGGAGTCGGGAGGTTACGTGCTTCTTTGCCGCTGCCACAGTATGCATACCCCGATACCGGCTTGCTGACAGGACTATGGCTGTTGCCCGGCCACCGCACAGCTACGCCCCAGCCCTCTTGAGCGGTACGCGCCTCAACCTCTCGATGCCACGCAGCAGAAGTGTTTTTTTCGGGGAGGCCACCACCGACATTTTTGTACGAAGCCGATCACCCGATGAAACCAATGTTTTTTATACACAACGCTCCGACAATGGAAGTGTACAGGTGATACCATCCAACATGAGAATCCCATCATGCCGCAAGCAGAAGGGTGGTGGACTGCAAAGGTGCCTATAATCGTGCAGATTTTGTTGCCAATTGTTTTCGATATATAAGTGCAAACCGCCCGCCCGGCGCAATGCACGCCCTGCCACACACAAAGAATAAGGAAAATCGCGAGCAAAACAGAATAAAATACAAATTACGAAGAAGGTACAGAGCACGCGTGGCGCACTACTGCACTAGTCGAACGATAGCTTCTGCCACGATCTAGTCATGTACACTCCTGAACCGTCCGTCTAACACCACTACTAGCGGACAATGCACCGTCGTCCTATCGCAGGAACGCGCAGGCAAGGACACAAACGCAAGCCAAAAACAAGCTGATATTTTAAAAACTAGGCGACCGGGCACCGAGGTGGTTAATCATCGCCGAGTGTCACCCACGCAGGTCACAAAACGCGCAGGTGTTGTACCGCTTTTTGACCGATTTAATTTGTCCGTAGACTGGACGGTGCAGCATGATGAGAGCCAAGCGAGAGATTGGAAGACAAAGGAGAAACGTCGCCGTGCCACCCACTCCCGTACGAGAACACCCCCACTCAACGCGCAAGCTCCCCGACTCATGCTGTATAACAAATACAAAGCCATATATACAATTATCTACACGTAATCCACAACGCGGTATGAGACCACGAACTCGGACACAAAAATCAAACCCATGGTACGCATCACAGGTCGGGTACAGCAGCACAACTGCTCCTCGCACAACTCGGTAGCTAGTCGGGTTTAAAGCACCCAGACCTACTACGGCCACATAAGGTGACTCATTTGGTTTCTCATGACACCGGCCACGCTCGGCCGCTCCTTGCTCAATCGCTCGTTGCTTCCTTCACGCTTTCCGTTCCGGGTTTCGTGGAAGCCTGCCGTCGAACGATAATAAGAGACAGAAAAAAAACTCTTCAGGAAGCTCTCTCGGAATGTCATTCCGACAACGAACGACGAACGGACAGCAGCTTCTCGTCGTCAGTCAGTCACCCTAGCTTCGCGATGACCACGGTGATGTCGTCCCCGCTGCCTGCCTCCCTCGCAGCGGCCACCAGCTCCTTGGACACCTGGCGTGGGTCTTTTTGCTTGCGGATCGCCTCGGTGACCTTTCTCGACGAGCGCCGGGCAAAGCGTGGGCAAGGAAAGGAGCAAACGTCGTGTGTTGCGGCGGGGCGGAGCAACGAAATCGAGCTGGAACACTATTACTTCAGAGTGGGGAGGGATGCACCAGCGCAACCAGATCCAGTGGTTTGGGGCGGATTGAAGGAGGAGTACAGGCGAAATCTCGCTTGGCATTTGGCCCCAGGTGTTGACAACAAGGAGATTTGCAGCTTGGACAAGGGTCGCCGGTCCTACCCCTGAATCCCCCACCACGACGTTGCAGTAGACAGTCCAACGCATCGCCAGGCCATAAGACAAAGTTGACAAAGCAGCCCGGCCCCGAGAACTCTTGGGTGTTCAGCTTTGCAACAGGCTCAAAGCAACGACACCTCACCAGCTTCGATACGCTTGCTTGGGTCATGAAGTCCCACACCCCGTCCGACGCTACCACTAAGATCGATGGCATCTGTTGGAAAAACGAAACGAAAGGAACAGAGGGCGGGAGAGGCCACCACGGGAAGGCTACCGTGAGCGTGCACGCGTGCTTGTCCCATGCGAGGCGCTGGGAGGGGGTGACCACCCCAACGACGTGTGATAGATAGCAAAGGAAGCGTGAGGCTGTGAGGGGCCTACGAACGTGGGGTCTACGGCAAATACCTAGACTGGGGGGCAGCAGCGGCCCCCACGCAAGGCAAAGGAAGGCCGGTTAACAGTCACCCCGGAGACGAAGTGCAACGAGGCCACGCACCAATCACGACACAACAGGGTACGCCACTCTACGCCATGTCGCACACGGTACGAAAAAGGGGACGCTCCTGGACAACGAAAGAGCCAACACAACCCCGAAACCACCCCAACGCACGTAGCAGATATGACCAGAAAATTGTAGCCACACAAGTCGGAGAAGAGACTGCCGCAGTCTCTAAACTCAATACAAACACACACCTGTCCGCGCGTGTATGGCAAGGTTCGGACCAGCACGTACGGCTCCGCGATAACACAACCTGGCCAGGTCCGCTTAATGTCGTAGTCCTACAAGGCTCGGAAAACGAGTCGTAAACGGGGCCGCGCGAAGGTGAGAACTACAACAGCTGCTGAGTTACAAGTTTGCTGGTTCAGGGCTTTACACGTCAGCTTGGTAGACCACGCACCCTGGCCTGTGCTATTGCTTGCGCAGAATCTGGTCACAAACGAACAAATTCCGCGCGACTGCGCCGTTCCGTACACGTCAACCCGGCAACGCGATCGACCCTCAAGAGAGCACTAACGATAGCTCGAACTCCAACCAGCATCGCTCCCACCGCCGGCTGCCCGCTCAATCTGCCTTAACAACACGACACGAAACCAAACGGGACATGAACAGCAAAGAGATCTGCGAGATTTTCTCTCACCCCGATAACCCTAGATGGCTCGAGCACGCCCATGACCCTCCCCTGCACCACCTTCCCGCCGTTGCTTCGGATCCGCGCCTTCTCGTCGAGGTCGACGGCACGGTGCGCTTCAGGGGAACAAGGGATCCAAGCAAGGACGTTGGCGTGGATGTGGAGGCAGGGGGGGGGCGGAGAGAAAGGTAAACAGGCAGACATTCAGATAGACGAAGATGTATACGAAATAGACGGGGGAGTAGAGGGGCAGAAGGGAGGCAACGAGAGAAATTACCTACCCACATAGAGGAAATAATTGACAGGAAGTTGGTCAGCACCAAAAGGAGCCAGAGACAGACAGGGGGGAATGTGTTCTCCAAGACTTGAGGAGGAGTACGGGCGCTAGCTGCGCGCGTGAGCTCGAAGTCAAGACACGATACCCAAAATCCTACCACCCTGCCAAAAACACGCCTTCCATGGAATCACAGACAACCCCCCGGAGAACACCATGGGCTTCGAAGCAAAGCCAGCTCTAACACCGAACTAAATAGGCAAATTGTCGCACACTACCGATGCGTAGTGCTCGTGCCCAGCCGGGCAGAGAATGAGGGCGTGCAACCATGTCACAATCTCCGCCTTGTTTCTCCATGGTCAACAAAAACCAAATCCCTGGGACTAAAAAAACACAAGATCGAGGAGGGCTTGGGGGAACGCAACCACAACCGGTGGGGAAGCGGCCGTTACCGGTAGGGCGCGTGTGGGTTACTCACGCCGGGAGAGAGAAACGATGGTCCCCTTGTCCGTGATGAGGATCGCCTGGCAGTCCCTGCCGTGTCGTACAGCAGTGCCGTGAACAGCGCGCGTCGTACCAAACCGATCGAACACACACCGTGTTTGTTTTTGGATGACGAACAACGAACGACACGGCGTGAAGACGAGAGCAAAAGAAAAGAAAAACAGCGGAAGCAGAGAACAGCGCGGCGGCGGAGTGTATCCCGACGTGCTCTGCCACAAGACGGACCGGCGAAAAGACATGTCACACTCGCCTGGCCGGCTGAACGGGTACAAGAAAAAAACTTCATGGGAAACAACTTGCAAACGGCTTGTGCAACGCGAAGAGGATTGGCAAGCCGCATCAAGGTCGAGACGAGCGGGTTTCATCAGGAAACAAAGTGTTTGCACGCCAAGCGAAACGAATACACAAAGTTGGCAAGTTACGAACTCTCAAAAGCCATCCACAGACAACCTTTTTACCACCACCACGCTACAACGTTCCGAAGGCACAACTTCACCCCCCCTCCCCCAATAACAACAACCGCAATACGGCGAACACACGGGGTCAGGTGGGTTGGGGGTAGTGGGGCACTGGGAATCGGGAAACCAAGGGGAGAGAGCATGTGAAAGAAAAGGGTCGTGAGACGAATCCAAAAAAGACGAAAACGAGAAAAATCTCAGCAGTCGACGATTGTGTCTTTTCCCACCCAACGTTAGCGGCGCAGAGCACCGAACCCCGGATTGCGACCACGCAAGCGCAGCAGCCGGAGGTGTCTCCCGACTTTTTCGACCAGTCCATGTAAGCCTGCTGGCAAAAAGCAGACGGTATGAATCATCCGAAAACGGCCGTCAGCACACAGCAGCGATCCTGCTCGCTGTACTCAATCGCATGCGTTCAAATGGAGGATATTACGGCGTTGCTGTGTATAGCGGGGTTCGGTGGGTTTGGTGGGTGCTGTCAGACGTGGAGTGGGAGGCAGCGACAAACAAATGATTGTCTAGTCATGTCCCAGGGAAACACGCTTGTGAAAAGAGAGCAAGAGTAAGAGAGAGCGACAAGTAAACTGTGAGCGGTGCGACGAGCCAATAGTGTGGCGGTACGCGAGGGGGGGGGTCGTACTCATATGTTTTGCATGCCTTAGCGGTTAGACCATTGACCACGCGTCCTCGAGAGGACGGCGCATTGTTCCCACAGGACCGATCACCGATGGCCAATCGTTCCTTTCTTCTTTGCCAAAGGTGCCCCAAAAACGTCTCCCCTAGTCTGTCTATCCTAACGATATCCCTTCCCGCCTTTTCAACCAACCTCCTATGCCCCTGTACAGCTACCGTCCTNCCACTGATATCTTCTCCTTGAACCCCTGTAGACCCTCCGTTTCCAGCGTTTCATCTTCGTCGATGTCGAGCCCCTTCCATACGTCCTCTACAACCTTGACCCATTCCGTGGGTTGTCTACCCCTCTTTGTGTTTGCCCACTTCGCCTCCCATACAATTCTCGGCAACCTCTGGCGGTACGCGAGGGGGGGGGAGGAACCACACATTAGTTCAAACGACTTTTTGCGGTCATCACCAATCGGACAAGCGAGATCACCCAAGGTCAGTCTTCTCTTCCACCGACAAAAGCGCAAGTCAGGAGCTATTCCTCCCTACCCGCCTGCTTATCTAACCGGCCGTGTCCTCTTGCGTACCTACCGAAATTACAACAATTACAAGTGCCTCGTATTTCCCATTGACATATCCGGGTACCTTTTTGTACTCCGAGCAAACGCTTGTTTCCAACGTTCGTTTACAATGTTACAAAGGGCTATCTGTGCCCCTTGTCATATCTCGCGCACAAGTGTGCGATCGATGCCCGCACGCGTGGGTCTTCGTGTACTAGTTTCGTACCACGCTTTTTCTGGTAATGCTTCCGCGACACTGCTGTGACCGCCTGACCAATGAGAATACGCCATCGACCTGCGGCACACAGGTCAAACCCTGATGAAAATCGCACTCGCCTGCTCGACCGACGCTACGCCTTCCTCCACCGCGCTCGCCAGCGCCTCGTCCGCGGGGTAATCGATGCTCTCGTAGAAAGCGCTCCTCCCGATCTTGGGGTCCGTGTTTGGTGTGCGCCCGCGACGTGGGCAGGGAGGTTATTAGCGTGGAACGGTGTGGTATGGTGTGAGGTGGGGAAGGATACATGTAGAGAGTGGAGTGAGGGCCGGGTCGGATGAGAGAGGGGGGACGAGCAGCAAAGCAAAAAGGGTATGCTCCGTGGCGAACAGGGGGGCGACAAAAACCCCGACAGGATAGAAAAAAACGACGAAACTCCTCCTCAGGTGCTGCCGTTGCTCTTCCTATGTACAATACGCCCCTGGATCGTACACAAGAACGCGGCGCTACATAAGACTTGCCGAGGGCGTACAAGGGTGGTGCTAAGCACTACTATTTGTGCATGGTGACGCAAAAACCTGGTCATATCTGCTAGTCACGCGTAAATGACATGAAACCCCTTCCACGGCGCCGTGTCGCGAGCGGATGACACAGAGCAAGTCTTATCCCCCGAAAAACAGACCACTGGAACAGCTGCCGTTGCTTGCGTGGTCAAAAAAGCCGTTTTCAAAACCTTAGCAGCGCCTGGAGGCTCCCCGGCTGGGTATCGTCCGCGTCGTAGCGTAGCTCACCAAGTGATGGAGGTGGTTCGCCACGAACTTGGAGGCTCCATCGCCGCCGTGCCCGTCAAACACCCCGAACAGGCACGCCAAAGGCCCTCGCGTTCCCGTCGGAGCCAGCTTGAGCACAGATACCTGCTCACCCAACATTCGATCGTAAGCGAATTCGCAAGGGAGGAGCACGCGAAACACCGCGTACCGGCGTTTTGCGACATAGCACACGGTTCAGTGGGTGGTGTGAGACAAGAACCTTACGACGAGCACAAGATCAAGGAGTGGATCCGCGGACTTGTAGGTGACGTGTTCGTGAACACGACCACAGCTTGCTGGAATTTGCGCGAGGGTATCGGTGTTGGCGGCGGCAGGGCACGGCTGCGGCACCGCTGCTGCTGCTCGCGCAACAGCTCTTGCCGCAACACCCGGCGATGGAGCAAGCGTCCGCTGCTTCCAAGGCTGTTAAAACGGTGCTTCTCAAACAATATATTTTGGGGCCTTCAGAGAAAGGCTGGCCACGGTAGTGTTGCGGCAACAACGGAGTTGGCACACACACACAGCTACGCCATGTGGAAAGGCCCCAGCATAGATCATGGTACGCAGCAGGCGCGAACTAGCTGAAGGGCACCTTACATACAGTTGTATTTTTGCGGGGGGGTGAAGAGGCCCACGGAGATACATCGAACTGTGATTTTTAACGTGCATCGGCTAGGCAAGAAAGAAACTGCGACGGCTGTATACAGGCGCCTAGGCCATATTCAGAGGATGCCTACGATTCGGACGAGTCGAGGCTGACAAGAGGTGCCTCTGCTGCATCTCCCGCCCAGCCCCTCCCCCCCCCTCCGATTTACAGATGTCTTGCACGTCGCACCAGCAAGCAGCTGCTGCCTACGTACCACGTTTTATGCATACGCCGACCCCTAAACTATTCACTGCCTTCAATTCTATTACTTTCCCCGCACAACGCACCATATCTTCAAACACCAGAGCGCGGTCCTCGTTGGTCGGATGCTCCCGGCACAGAAACGGGGAAGCGCTGGAGAATGTGCCCGACCTGACATCGTATGCATAGCAGCGTGTAACAACTCGAAATTCCGATGACATACTGTAGACGATGTATACTAACCTAGATATGAGTAACGTGCCGATCACGTTACACCACACGCATGTGCGCCCAAATTTACACCACGTCGAACCGGGACACGCGCGTGGGAATACATCTGAAACGTTGATCGGTGAAGGCTCAGGGGCAACACGTCCGTTATTGGTCCAGCAAGCATCGTTTTGGATTCTACATTAATACCGGTGCAGACGTGCAGACTAACGGTCCTAGTCTACTTCGAGCCGAGTGCTCATGGTTTATCACGTATTAATATCTCTCTATTGGCAGCTAACACAACAACGGAGCAAAAGTAGCGGTGCGGTGCGTAACTCAAAGGCGCATGGCCACCTTACCCCAAGATCACCTGGGCTCGTGGATATATACACAGCGGAAACGCTTGCCTCCCCGCAAGCGGGTGGTCGAAGTTGAAGTCAGAGGGAGGCAAAAAACATTTGCTTGCCCAGGGAAATACTCAGAAAGAATACTGAGGCTTGGTGCCATGCCAGACATGTAGGGGGGAAACATTTCTGATCAAGCATACCCCAATTTCCGACTTATGCTGGGTCTTCCTAGGTCGAAGGGCGAGCAGCAAGCTGAGCTATACTGCCAGACAGCGCAACTACACAGCAAGTGTTCGCGTACCACTAAATAGAAGATGACATACCTGACGCAAGGGTAGCCTGGAGGTAGGGGATCTTCTTGTTCCATTGATGCCATGTTGCCTCGTTCGTGCGTGTTGAGAGGTCCTGAAACCAGCAGGAGAACGGCGGCGGTGCAGGTGGCAGCAGCAGGCAGCAGGGGAGCAGGCCGCGGCGGCGGCGGAACCAGGGGGTTCTCAGATGGCAACGAAGCACACCCGTTCAAAATTTTTCCCAGATTCCGACCCCAACTCCCGCGCACGCATGGCACTTTGGCATACTGCCACCAGCAACAGCTGCCACGGGCTGTAGCTCTTGCATCGATGTTCCTCCAACTTTTCGTCGTCAATAAATCTGGAGGGTTAATATACAATCAGGTGGGGCCGAGCTACAGATGGGATTGTTGATTGTTGCCTTGGCCATGTGACACATATATCAAATGCTCCGCACGAAATCATGCTGTGTTATATGGACTTGCCGCTGCTCTTCGTTGAATCAAGTGTACTGCTGTAGTTCACCTAGCTGCCCACAACACGGAGGGGGATAAACACGCTGTTTCATTCGTAACAAGACTTGTTCCCCGTATCGTGCGTGTCCTATCATGCAGAACCTGTCATCCGCTGCACCGCGGTTGAACAGCAACGATTGGCTTCGACTAGGCTCGACGTTCCACAGCTTGCACGCCATCGCGGCTCAGGTACTGCTGCTACAGCTGCTGCTGCTTCTGCTGTGTGGACCAAGATATGTTGTGCAGGCCGTCGCATGCTGTCTTGGAGTAGAGAGATGCAGCCGCTTAATAAATAGTTGCATAGATCAATAGCAGCTACCGTGTCGCGGTTCCTGAGTACATACAGCCTTTGGGGGTGAGAGACCCACGATGGCGTTCCTATTTACTCGTAACGACAGCAGTAGTGGTCGTGGTGCCAACGACATTTGGTGTAAGAGAGCGAATGGTGCCATGACAGCAACAGCAGTCCGTGAAAGTCACGACATGCAAAGTGTCGGTCAATATGTAAACATTCTTGGTAGGGACACGAGTTTCAGGGACATACTCTATTCAAGACTCTGTACGTACCGCGCATTTAAGCTCAGTACAGCTTTCACGAACGTTTAATGAAGACTACTATAATACAAACCCTTCCGCACAGTTGGCTACTCCACACTGCACCAATTGGCATAAAGCAACCTGTGGTGTGCGGCGGTACATCCCTTCTTGTAAGGCTTGCAGCCAGATGCGTTTGGCAGCATTTCCTGTTGCAGAGGAGATCTGCACGCGCGGCAGCGGATTACATCCTCTCCACCAGAGCGAAATACATGGGCCCAAGGCGCACCGTCTCCAACAGAGCAGTCTTGTTGCTGCAGCAGTACCAGTTTGCCATCAATTCGCGTTGATTGGAAATAATAGTCTTATGTGTAGCCTCCGGGCCCTGTTGATCTTTCGTTCGTGGGGCACGCTCCAGCGCTCGGGGGTCTCGTGCGCCCGCTGGAGGCAAGTGTCGGATCGATGAAATATGTAGCAAGGTGCGATCGACCAACCGTCTGGCCAACGTGTCTGTCAGTCCCCCTCTGCCGGAAAATCTCGAATAATTTTGATACGTAGTCCGGTTGTTTCGGCTCGACGTGACCCCTCTCACGTGAGCTTAGCTGCGGCCTTTCGTCTCTGGCTGAACGCTACAAGTGTTGAGAAGCGTCCTTGCTTGGTGTGTTGACAGGACGCAAAGGCGAAATGGCAGTCGCCACAGCAGCATGTTATTATAGTGTTGCAGCGGGTTGAGAAAAAGTTATGGAAATGTCGACAACGACGAACGAAGATTATTCCAAAAGCAGGCAAAATATCGGTGCAATGTAGCAAAATCTCGAAAAAGTGCCAGGGGATCTATTTGTTGAGTTTGACGTTGAATGGAAGCAGGACGCGGGGCGTCAATCCAGTGTAGCTGGCGGGACCCCACTTTCCAGCATGGAACCACCGAGTTGTTGACAAGAAAAATATCCATGGAAGACAACCCTCCTCCTGATCTGAGCCTATTTCTTGAACGATTCGCGCGCCACGAGTGCACAAGCCAAATAGCAACCCTGTTGCAGTATGCTCTCCCCCTCCCCTCAACACATTCTGATTTCCTGTTGGCCGTTGTTTTGCTCCTGCCAAATGGCTTTTAACCCTGTACGCACGCGCCCACTGACTTTTTTACGGGTTGGCCTGTACATTTACGCTCCTTGCGTCACTTCTCCACGTTCTGTACCAACCCGCCACCTCCTTTGAACTAAAACCGAGTCACCTCGTGTGGGTCATATTCCTTTGCTCATTGGAACTCCCACGCTCCCAATGGCCAAACATGAATCGCACGCGCGTATGCGTACTTAAGTCGCGCCAGTTCCACCCTCGGGCATCGAGTCACCTCGTGTGTGTCATATTCCTTTGCTCGTTGGAACTCCCACGCTCCCAATGGCCAAACATAAATCGCACGTGCTTATGCGTACTTAGGTCGCGCCAGTTCCATCCTCGGGCATCGAGAAGCTGGAGACGGACACGTTCAAGCTGCAGAGCTTCCAGACGCTCACGGGGGTGAAGTTCGTTATAACCGCTGAGGCGGGCACGCCAGACCTCGGGGGCGTGCTGCAAGAGATATACGAGCTCTATACGGACTACGTTCTCAAGGTACAGTCTACGAACTGATTTGTCGCGTTTTTACAGCTGTTCATTACCGTATGCATATCCGAGCCAGCCGTAGGCTTTTCCAGCATCTGTTTTTCGCACGGCCTCCTTGGGGATCGCCTTGTCAACTCATCACACATGCCCGCATGGCGGTGCTACTGCCAGGTAGTAGTTGACGGTATGTTTTCCGTTTCTTGGGTATTTATCCTGTTGTTGGTTTTGACGAGTCGGCACGGGCAGAAGACGGCTGATGCCGAGGAGTCCCTGAACCAACCCGGGAATCGTGTCCGAACCCCCCGCTCTCGGAATGCCGGTTCCCTCCCGAGCACGTCTTTGTTGGCCTTCTCCGGTGTCGGCCTTACTTGCTGAAAGTTGTTGCTTTCTTCGTGAGCGGGTTTTATCGGGTCGGAAGTTGTATTTGGCATGCCCGCATGCTGCTGTGCGACAAGCTTGCACGCGTAGGCTTGAGGGCTTACTTTGTTACTGCGTCGTGCGCGCGTTTGTACGCACGGGCGGGCCTGCTGCGAAGGGTTTGGTGCGGTACTAGGTTGTCTGCTGCGCATATATACTGCTGCGCCTTGACGACGTCGTACGATATTACAAGCAATTGATCTCGACCTATTTGCGCTTCGCTTGAATGATGAAGTGCACTATCGCTACCGCCCTCGTTTTCTTGCGTCCTGTGTTTTGTGGGCGTTGCGGGATGCGGCAACCGGGCGAATGCAACCGGGAGCAGAACCCCTTTTACGAGCTGGAGATGCCAATTCGTTGCGAACTGTTCACGCTGTACCTCGAGGAGCTCATCGAGCGGCATAGCAACGCTGGGGGGGCGCCAGGCGGAGGCGGTGGCGGCGGCAAAAAGCCCGCTGGTCAATACTAGTCGATGCGTTTCTGCTGTACAAAATAGTTGTTTTTTGTGGTACGGGTTGCACACACGGTACGTTGCGTGCGTCGTCTGTTGAACGAAGTGCGTGCACGTAAGTGGCGGCGGGCAAGGCGTGCATTGTGTTGCACGGCTAAAGGGCTTCTCGGGGATATTTCGATGCTGTTTTGCTTTGGGTGACTTGTCCGAATGCGCGATATGTTTCGCCAAAAGCCACGAAACAAATGATGTCTGGTCAATCCCTCTGCAGAAGAGTGACGCGTGGCGAGCGCCCGTCTCTGGATGTGCTTATTTGCAAAAGTAGGCATATGTTGAAAATATGTCTATGTCCAGCCCTCGTGCATGAGGAGAGTTACCACCGCGGCAAATGCCCTCCCCCCTCCTCAACCCCGTCTTCGCGTCCGTCGAGCCCCGTCTCGAAACCCCCAGCGCCTGGGCCCTCAATCGTAGCCCAGAGCACCAAGACACGGTGAGGTGAGAGCTCAACTGCTGTGATGCCTATGAGATACGCATCAACAGCTTGCTCCTGCTGCTGGGGGCCACCATGCCCTGTGCATGCCTTCGTCCGTGTTTGCATTGATTATTTAAACCCGTCAGTCCTTTCAAGACACGCTTTTTACCCACGTCTACATAAAATCGTACTGGAGGAAGAGGGAGGAAATTGGTGGCAGGCCACATCAACAACACAGGCAACCTTTTCCCCTCTCCTTCGGGCCTCTCCGTCAAGCCGTTAATTTTCTCAGCGGCGCACCATGGCGACGCTGCCAAGACGGAGTGGTTAAACATGCACACCATCAATCGCGTCTCGCATTCATACCGTCCCCCGTGCGCTTCCGTACACCTCCCTGTCGAGCGTTTGACTCTACACCCCCCCAACATCCCGACTGGCCCTTTCGGTATCCTTGGGTGTAACAAGCACGGAGGACTGGCGACTGAAATTTAACGCCGCCGCATGCGTACATTCATCTGAAACCGTCGTTGCTACCGCGGGATATCGCCAAACACCAAAAAACGAGTCACGACTTTTCGTGCGATAGTTATTATATGCCCAAGGGCGGCTCAACACCCACAAAAAAGGTTCGCACAAGCGACAAACACATAACGGCAGCAGAGACCGCCTGTTAACCTTCAACCCGTTCCCAGATACTGTTGCACCACGAGCGAATCTCCACAATGGCTCCGCGACCGCACGCATCCGTCGAAACTGATACTAACAGCGCCTTACACGGTGCGTTTCCACATCCGAATCATTCGCACGACACTCGTTTGTCACCCTGCTCACGGCTTTGATGCTAATGCCACGGGAGCCAACATCCGACTCAGCAAAAAGATTCTTCTCGACTCGTACTCTCCTCACTCTCTTCGGGCAGCAGAGACGGCAGCTCTCGACAGAGCCAGCCACCGTCAACAGCATACCCTACTGCCAACATGCCTCCTATGAAATCAACTCATTATGACGAACGCTACATTTTTCAAGACTAAATGCCCGCACACTGCCCCCGTGCGGTGAGCATGGTTGCAAAAAGGCGATCACAAGTGATGCGGGCGACGCGGACTGTCCGTGTGCCAAGCAACCGCAACACCACCACCAACTACGACCATAAACTTGCTACAGAGAGTAACGATGCGCATACGCAGCCTCTCCGCGTTGGATAGCCCGCAGCGAGAGCACGTGACAAAAGGGTGTACATACAACTGACAAGCATTCGTTCTTTTTGACAAATAAACTCGCGTGCTGTCCAAGCGACACGAGATCGGCCACACGAAACGCATTCCACCCCCGCGCGGTTTACCGGCCACGCACGTACACTTCCTCCTCCCAAGACAATAACGACAGGCAGGCACGTGCTTCACGAAAACAAGACCAGAACAAATCAATCCGTCGTCGTGTTCACGCACTCCTACCCGGACACAAGACGCGTAGGCGCGCTCGGATTAAGAACCACATCGAACGTCCTCCACAAACCAATCGATCCAAACAAGTCACTGGGAGGACGGCGCCTTGAGCGTGCGGAGGCGGGAACCTCTCCACCGCATCCCGTCGGAGCTCGCCTTCAGGATCCCACCTCCCGTCAACCCGCCGGCGGACGAGGAGTGAATCCCCGAACCCGCGCCACCAGTTCCCGCGCCCTTGCTGACGCCGGGCAAGCCTGCCTTGTGCCGGGTAGCCTTCCACACCTACAAACGTCAACGGCGAGAAGATCGATGCGGAATGCGTCGGGAGGAAGGCGTCATGTTTGTTTTTGTTGTCTTCACATTACAAACCGTTCCGATCTCTCAACCCAGTACCTTCATCTGTCCGTACTGAATAAACACTTAACCGGTCGATTCCCGTGGTCTCAGGGTAACTTACCCAAAAAGGTATACTCAAATAACAAGGACTGAAGGGTCCGCAAGCCAATTTAAATCAACGACAGATATGTCTGGAGCCCTTCGCTCAACTATACACTCTAAACATGTGGTATTTGGAGACGTAGAGGGTGCGGGGTGGGAGAGAGGGACAGGAACTGATCGGAACTATTGTAACGTCCACGAAGATGCTCGACATGACCTACCCTCGCCGTCATCATCACGGTCATGTCCGTTGCGTGTATGGCAACGAGACCACACACCACTAACATGTGCTAACCAGGCGGGAGGTCGGGCAGTCCTCCTGTAATACTGTACGCCATGGGCCTGAGGACACATCCAACCTGACATTCCTGCATTCGTGAACGCAGTGTGCTCACGATGTGCAATAAGGTCTTGGAAACACACCAGACCGCATATCTACCGGCCACGCTCCCTCTCCTCTTTGCACACGCTCAACATTGTCTCAATGAATCGCCCTCTGCTCCCTCCAACCACTCCATCTTGAAAGAATCACCTGGTACGCCGGTGAATACTTCCACACGCAGTAGTAGTACTCGACCACTCGGCTCCTCTTCCACCCGAGAGCCTTCTGCACCGCGTTCAGGTCCCGCCCGTGCCGCATGAAAGCGTCGCCCGCCAGCTTCGCCTCCTCGTGCGTGACGCCCTGGGCGTCCGCCTTCTTCCCGCATCGCGGTGTACCCCCGGCCGCCGCCACCGCTCCTCCTCCTCCTCCTCCTCCTCCTCTCGGCCCGGACGCCCTGCCATGAGTCGGTGATGCCGTCCCGACAGGCTTGGCCGCCGCCGGCGCTCTCGGCGCTGCCGCTGCCTGCCAACCTTCAAAGCTAGCTCTGCCGTTACTCCTCCCACCGCCACCACCACCTCCGCCGCTGCTGCCGCCGGCGGCGGGGAACGACGACGACGGTGGTCTCGCGGCGGGATTCAAAGGGGACTGCTGCTGCTGCTCGGCGCGCTTGTTGCGGGTCGTCCGGACGCTCGACAGTCCCACCACGTGGATCCCGTGCCGGACCGTCAGCATCTGCGCCGCCCGCTCCACGTCGTGGCGGTGCATCTGGAGGACCTGCATCGACTTCTCCGCGTGCGCCGGCGCCACGCGCTCGAGCAGCGCGCTGTCCCGGTCCCACATGGCCTGCTCTAACGGCGACCGGTTGGTCGCAGCGGCCCCTCGTGGGCCTCTCGCCTCGGCCGCTCCTCTGGGCTTCGGCCCCGACCGCGGGTCCCAGACAAGCTCCGCCACATCCTCGAAGGACAGGTCGGGAATCGGCGGGGGCGGCGGCGGCGGCGGCGGAGGAGAAAAAGCACCGGTACCGCCCTCTCTACCCGAGCTGCTACCACTACCGCTGCGGCTGCTGCTGCTGCTGCTGCTGCTGCTGCTGCTGCTGCTGCTGCTGCTACTTGTTCCCGGACCTGTTACTCCATTTCCACTCCCGCTGGCGGAACAGCCTCCTCCTCCGGCGCCCAGTCTGCGCTTCCGGCCGGCGGCGTTCGGGCTTGGAGAACGTGCCGGTGGTGTCACCGATGACGACGCCGGCGTAGCCGATGCCACTGCCGACCGCAGTGGCTTCATCGCCAAGCTTGCGGTCTCTGCGGCGCCGACGCCTGCTTGTCCCCTCGTTGCGCCTGAAGAAGCTAGTATCGGGGTACCGTTAGCGGGCAATGACGACTGCGGCGGCGAGGGAGCGGGTGAGGACGGGGCCCGCATCAAAGTCGTCCTCTCCCAACCCGTGACAGGGCGATAGTCAGCGGTCCGCGACCCGCCGCCCCGTTCGCTTTCTGCGGAAGCTCTCCGTGGGGTCGATGGTGGCGCAACGGACGCTTCCGCTTCCGTTGGTTTAGTTTGGCCCCATGTGAACGTTTCGCAACCTCCGGCAAGGATCTGGCTACGAGATGCCTCAGCCGCCACCGCCACCGCCGCCGCCGGGTATACAGCCTTCAGGAATACCTCGCTGACGGTGGTGGTGGTGCCAGCCGTGATGACGATGCTCCCATCTTCCGCTTTTATGCCAGACACGTCTGCTGGAGGTGGCGTCGCCACAGATGCCACCGTGTTCGCTGCCGCCTCATCCAAGCCCATACGGTTATCAACCTCCATCGAGTCCGCGAGTTGGCTTCGCCATGGCCTTTCCAAGTCAAGCATCATCATATCCCCCCGATTGGCCAGCAGCGTGCCGTCGCCCGTCGAATTGACCGCCTTTGTAAGCCCTCTCGGTGGGCTGGTCAACGCCGTAGCTGCAACACACGCAGCCCGATGTTTGGACACGCCGTCCTCAGCAGCAGCCGGAGGCTTAGCGAAGCCAGCCGATGAAGAAGCTGCCGGAACAATAGCACTCTTGGTCGTGAAAGCAGTCTCGGCACCAGCTGCCGCTTCCGGAAGGCTGTCTGCGCACGATGCTTCTACCGCCGCCGGCGGCGGCTTAGTTGCCGGCGGACACCCCACTGTGTCGTTCGCGGCCGCGGTAGCACGCCCCTTCCCTTTGCCAGCCACAGCTTGCGAGGCAACAGCAGAAACAACGGGGGAGTACGTCACAGTTCCTACAACAGTGGGAAGGGCAGCGGCAGCAGCAGCAGCAGCAGCAGCAGGAGCGGCCACCGCTTGCGAGATGACCAACTTGGAGGACACTTCCACTTGCAGTGCCTCCGGCAGGTCAACGCAAGTCGTCCCACCACCGTTAACCCTGCTTTCACTTTTACGCGCGCCGGGAGCAGCGGCCACGGTAGCACCAAGCAGCGACATTGCGGCCTCCCCCGTCGAGGAAGGTGCAGCAGCAGCAGCAGCAGCAGCACCGGCAACCGACCGGATCCTGCTCGCCCGAGGCGTCGACGGTGGCGGCAACGGCGGCAAGCGTGACACTTGGTGGTTGTCGCCGACCAGCGGGGAGTGGTACTTGCCCCGCATCTGCTGCCTGCGTCGGACGAACTCCGCGCTGTTGTTGGATCCTTCGACCTGAAGGGCGGCAGTTGCCAGGCATGAACCAAGGGTCAAGGGACAGAGGCAAGGATAAATTTTTGATAGAAACTGCTGTGCAATGATTCCGTGGTGCCCCGGTGTTCTCCCCGTACAGGTGTGACACCGGAATGGCAGGGGGGGGGGGGGGGGGGGGGGCTTGA